GGGCTGGTGAGATGGCTCAGTGGTCTAAAGCACCTACTTAGAACAAGCTTAGCAAAGCACAGGGACTGTGGTTCAATCCCCCAGCACCACATGCCAGCCAGCCCCCCGCCATGGGCTGAGCTGGCCACACACACACACACGAAAAAAAAAAAAACTAAATAAATAAGGGGGGGGGTGGCTGGGGAGATAGCTCAACGGAGTAAGTGCTTGCCTGGCAAGCGCAAGGTCCTGAGTTTAATCCCTGGTGCCACCAGAAAAAAAAAAAAAAGCCAGAAGGGCAGATTGGAGGGACTCCTTAGGCTACAGTGTTAGTGTTTGGGGACTATACTGTATGTGTTTTAGAGACAGATTTCTGTAGTGCACCCCAGAGATCAGTTATTTGTACCATGTAGGATGGGTTTCTCCAGGGGTTGCATGAGATACTTGCTCAAGACACTGGGTTTGGGGCCGGGGAGATGGCTCAGTAGAATAAGCGCTTCCCTGGCAAGTGCAAGGGACTCAGTTCAATCCCCAGTTCTGGGGAAAAAAAAAAAAAAAAAAAACCACTGGCTAGGCGACATCCTTACGTTGTGTGTCCCTGGACGAGCGTGGTTCTGAGTCCTGTCTAACCCAAGGATGAGGCGTGTTGCTGGAGGAAGCCAGTACCTGTGTGTCCTAGAGCCTTCCTGCCTTCTGATTCCTTCGCATTGCTGGGAAAGGGAAGCGAGTGCTGCTGATCTTCAGGACCCTTATGTACAAGCACTCATTTTCCAGGGATTCAGGAGCCTCCAACTGGAGAGGAAAGAGTCTCAATGGTGGGAACAAAAGCACATTGCCATTTCCTGCTCATAGAAACAAACATCCCCATAAAGGTGAACTGCCAAAACCTGTCCCATCACTCCCAGGCACTCGGACTTGCCTGAGAGCACCAGGCAGCCGCCAATTACAAGTCTGAAAAACATCTCAGGGAGCTGTGAATAATGAAACCAAGCCGTCAAGGAAGAGGCCAAGCAAGTCAAAGAAGGAATATGGGGCCCTGTTTGCAAAATTAAAGATGCCCCATGAGAGAAATCCAAATACAGAAGGGATCAAAACCTTTCCATGCTCTGGACAAAAACTTATTGTGATTTTGACAAAAAAGACAAGGCGCAAATGACCCACAGACAAGGATGACAATTCTTTATTACCTAAGCCAGTCACAATCCACTGGGAATACTCTTAAGGGTGGCCATGGGACAAAAGCAAGTGCTTAACCTAGGGATCCTGGTGGGACCTCCAGCTGGTCACTGGAAGCCCCTCCCAGCCTGCTAGAGGTGCTGAGACTGTGTCTCCTGATGTCAAAGAATGGACCTGAGAACACAGGGGACCAAGAGTAGGAATGGTTTACTGAGAGAACGCTGAGAGACAGGAGGGCCCTGGAAATGGGTGGCTGCTGAGGCTTCTTCTCAGGGACATTTTATATGGCAAGATTGCAGTGTACAGCTAGAGGTCAAACTCCCGCAAGTACAGCTGCTCAGCTAATGCTGATCCCATAGGGAAGGCATGAGTAGATGGTGGACATCATTAGCCTGGATTTTCTAGAATTTAGTGAGTTCAAGACTAGGCTGGGGCCTTTTTCCCAAAAAGAAGCCCCCGCTCCTCCCAACACTGAAGCCAAAGCAAAAGCTTTGAAGGCCAAAGGCCATGCTGAAAGGCATCCACAGCCATAAAAAGAAGATAGGAACATCACCCACCTTCCACTGTCCCAAGACGCTGTCCACATACCCTCCAAAGAGCGCCCCCAGGAGAAGCAAGCTTGACCACGATGCCATCATCAAGTTTCCTCTGACCACAGAGTCAGCCCTGAAAAAGATCGGGGACAGCAACACACTCGTGCTCACTGTGGATGTCAAAACCAATGAGCACCAAGTCAAACAAGCCGTGAAGAAGCTCTATGACGTCAGTGTTGCCAAGGTCAGTGCCCTAACCAGGCCTGATGGCGAGGAGGCATGTGTTCGACTGGCTCCTGATTATGATGCATTGGATGTTGCCAACAAAATTGGCATCATCTAAACTGACCCCAGCTGGCTAATTCTAAATATATACTTTTTTTTCCCAGTTAAAAAAAACTAGCCTGGGCTACATAGCAAGACTGTCTCAAAATCAAATAATGCAGCAACTTATTTAGCGTCTGAGTGGGGAATAACAATACTATACTCAAAACTGTAACTCAGAATGCTGTGTGTAGTATTGCATGCCTTTGATTCCAGCATGGGTAGGCTGAGGCAGAATTGCTGCGAGTTTGAGGCCAGCCTACTCCACATAGTGGATTCAAGGGCAGCTTAGAGCACATAGCAAGACCTCACTTCAAAAATAAAAAAACATGGGATGGGGAGATAGCTCAGTAGAATAAGCGCTTGCCTGGCAAGTACAAGGGTCTGAGTTCAAGCCCCATTTCTGCCAAAAACAAAACAAACAAAAAAACTATAAATCAAGAAAATAACAAGTGGGCAGAATTATATTTGCAACAAAAATGACATTATTAGTGATTCTAGATTAGAAGGTATGGGGGTAGCTTTATTACAATTTTTAAATTTTAATTTTATTGTAAGTGGATCAAATACATTTACTGAGTATAATTGATTTTCTTACAGATGCACACAATGTGATTTTAACAAATGTATCAGTCACTACAACCACTTTGTGATGAATTTAAAAATACCTTCTTAGCAATTTAAACAAACACATTACTAACTGTAGTCATCATACTACAATTATCTCAAGAAAATGCTAGGCATGATGACATACCCTTGTAACCTCCGTTTCCTGAGAGGCAGAGCCAGAAAATTAAACTGGAAGCACAGGCCGGGCTCTTTAGCCAGTATTTTGTTATTCTGAGACAGGGTCTCACTATGTACTCCAGGCTGGCTCTAAACTCACTTTATTATCCATACTGGCCCTTAACTCGTGCTGATCTTCCTGCCTCAGCTTCCTGAGTGCTAGGCTGATAGGCGTGTGCCACCATGCTGGGCTGCCGTATGATTTAAAAATATTTTAATGGGCTAAAAGTGTCCTTAACAAGTCCTTTTGTGACTACTGCTGATTCCGACTTCATAAGTACTACTGTGGTGAACGTTCATGTCCCAAATCCTTTATTCCTCTTTCCCTTCTGGGCTCAGTCCTGCAGCTGGCTTGAAAGGTGTGAACTTTAAGAACCCTTTTCATAATATTGTCCAGCTGCTTTCTGGAGTCAGTGTATCAGGTGCTGCTCCAGACAGCAGTTAGCTTGGGCCACCTGCATCCTTTACATCTGGCTGAGTTTCAAGAAAATCTTTGGAGGGGCCAAGGGAGATGGCCCGGTAGAAAGTGTTTGCCTGGCAAGCACAAGGGCCTGAGTTCAATCCCCGGTTCTTACAAACAAAACAAACAAAAACTCTCGAAATGAAAAAGCAATATGTATAACTTTTGAGCTGGGGAGATAGCTCAGTAGAATAAGTGCTTGCCTGGCAAACACAAGGTCCTGAGTTCAATCTCCGGTACCACACACACACACACACACACACACACACACACACAAATCTTTGGCTACTTTTCTTGCTTTGGGAGGGTAAAACAGGAGGATCACGAGTTGGAGCTCAGTTGGCGACTTGTTGAGAACCCTGTTTGAAAATAATTTTTATTTATTAAAAATTTTTAGGGGCCGAGGAGATAGTTCAGTAGAATAAGCACTTGCCTGGCAAGCGCAAGAGCCTGAGTTCAATCCCCGGTTCTGAAAAAAGAAAAAAAAAATTTAAAAGGTGAAAGGCCTTGAGTATCCCCTACACCAATAGTAACAAGTCATTGCCATGCTCCCAGAGTTCTTGGGTTATTTTTATGGTGCCATGGTTACAGCAGATTGGAGCCTGACAGACTTGGGATCTTGTACTTGTTCCGCCAACTAGGAGCTCCCTCACGCCTGCTTTGAAGATTAAAAGTAGTGTAAAAGCACTTTCAGATGGCTAGTACTTGCTTCTCGCACATGCGCAGAGGGTAGCTCCTGCGTGGCGGCCAAAGAGCCTGGGCGGAGCCAGAGACCCGACCGCGACCAATCCAGAGGGGACGCAATGGCGCCACGCCCCTTGTCCTGGGGTCTTAAAAGGGCAAAGAAAGGGCCTTGGGACAGGCACGTGGGAGCGGTCCTTCCTCTGTAGGTTGTGGTTTTGAGTCTTTGCTAGGGCACGGGAAAGACAGAGTGCCCCCCAGTCTCAGCCCCGCGTCGGCCCCGGCAGCGCAGCGCGAGGTGCCCTGTCCCGGCGGCGGCGACATGCGCGCGCTGCGGGCATCCCTGACACTGGTGCTCGGCGCGGGGGTGGGCGCTGCGGCCGAGCGCTGGCGGCGGGACAGGGCGGATGCGCGGGCGGTGCCAGGGCTTTTGGGCCGGCTGCCGGTGCTGCCCGTGGCGGCCGCAGCCGAGCTGCCTTTGGTGCCCGCGGAACCGGCCGGCCTGGGCTCCGGCGAGCTCGCTAAGTACGGGTTACCCGGGGTGGCGCAGCTCAAGAGCCGGGAGTCGTACGTGCTGTGCTACGACGCGCGCACCCGTGGCGCGCTCTGGGTGATCGAGCAGCTGCGGCCCGAGCGGCTCCGCGGCGACGGCGACCGCCGGGCGTGCGACTTCCGCGAAGACGAGTCGGTGCACGCGTACCACCGCGCCACTAACGCGGACTTTCGCGGCAGCGGCTTCGACCGCGGCCACCTAGCCGCCGCCGCCAACCACCGCTGGAGCCAGAAGGCCATGGACGACACTTTCTACCTGAGCAACGTCGCACCCCAGGTTCGCAGCGCCCGCACTCGGGTCTAGGTTCGGACAGAGGTTCTGAGCGCTGCACCCACGTGACCTTCAGTCGCCTAACCTGCGGGTGGTGCGGCCATTCACTCCCCGCATGCATAGGGCCGAGGTACTTAAGACTCTAAGGAAAGTGGCTGTTAGCTGCAACGAAGCCATAAAGGCTGAGTGGTACGCCGCCGGGCCTAGAGTCATAGCCGACAGCTGTTTTTTGAGACAGTCTTGCTGTGTAAAGGAGGTTGTCTTTGAACCAGGTAGCCCAGGCTGACACGTACACCACCACGCCTGGTTAATGACTGGTTTTTGTAGCACTGGGGAAGGACTGCAGAGCTTCTGGCGAGCTATGCAAGTGTCTAACAGAGCTATATCCCCAGAAACGAGGGCACTTGATCCAGCTGGTGGTGCCAAGTACAGGCCGCAGGCCAAGCAGCCCCTCCACCCTCGTTCCTCCAGGGAATGGCGCCCTGTGAGCCTCTAGCCCCTAATTCTTTCCCCAGGACCCATTTTCCTAGCTTGTAAGGTCCAGGTGGTCCGGGTGTCTGCGAGAAAGGAGGAAATGGTAGCGACCCAGGGCACAGGTGGAACGGAGCCCTGCCTAGGCTCCACCTGAGTGGTCACCTGCCCTCAGGGAGGGCCAGGTCTTCCTTGAGCCTGTTTCCTGCTGGAGCGGTAGGGATCCACATGTCCCACTGAATCCCCCTTCTGCCCCCAGGTACCACACCTCAACCAGAACGCCTGGAACAACCTGGAGAAGTACAGTCGCAGCCTGGCACGCAGCTACCAGAACGTCTATGTCTGCACTGGGCCACTCTTCCTGCCTAGGTGAGGCCACAGCGTGGCTGCACCCAGGGGTCAGCACCCCGGTACTGTTAATCCATCTTCTTGGCCTGTGTCCCTGGCGTGGGCCCCACATTCCACTTACTTTTGAGAGTCTGTGCAATTCAGACCATGTTAATAGCCCAGGCTGGCCTCAGATGTGCTCATCTTCCTGCCTCAGCTTCCCAAGTGCTGGGATGACAGGGATGCACTGTCACATGCAGCCCCATGTAGCTCTAGGTGGCCTCCTTGGTCATCTCTCTGCCTGGGGTACCTGGCCCCAAATGTCCTTGCTCCTCTGTGACCCTGGCAGCCTGGCCAGCCATGATCTGCATGGATGGAACCACAGATCCCCGACTTGCGAGGCTACCTCACTGTTCGGCTCACGGTGCTCTCCTCTGCCCTCAGGTCCCACTGTCCCCTTACCTGTCCCAGCTGTTGGGGACTGAGATGTTCTGGGCAGGGTCCCTGCTTCCCAGTCCACCTTCTGACCAGTCTGCAGGCTTAGGATGGGGCCCAGGCCTTACTGCCTGGTCTCTTGGTGCTGGGGGCAGAAGGTCTCAAGTGTCCTCCCAGGTAAAATGGGGCTAACGCCTGTGACCTCACAGATGGGGGCTATCAGGCCCAAGGCCTGACCCGTGCTAAGAGCTTAGTATGAGCTGGGGAGGGTGGTGGTTTGGGCACTGAAACTTCCAGCAACAAGTGCCCACTGAGCTGGGAGCCAGAGGCCACTCGAGTGGCCAGGTGTGGTGGCAGTACTTGGGAGGCTGAAGCAGGAGGACTGCCGTGAGTTCAAGACCAGCCTAAACTGTACAGTGAGTCCCTTAAAAAACAAAAAAGGTGACTCGTGCCAGGCTTTGTATTGGGCATGGGATTTCAACTGCCATGGCCCTGCCCACTGGGTGCACTGCCTTGGGAGAGATGAACAGCAATCAAGTGTCCCAGAGGTGAGCTGGAGTTTAGAAGGCCCAATACTTTCAGCAGCACTGGGAGAGTCAGTCTGCAGCGGGGACCGACCCCAGCCTTGAAGGTGGGAAGGCAGGGTACGCAGCCTTGAAGTCAAGGGGTGGCCTGGCAGGATGACAGAGCTCAGGTCAGAGCAGGCTTCCTGGAGGCGGGGGGCTTGGGTCCAACCAAGCTCTAGCTGTGAGTGCTGGGTCTGCCCGCAGGACGGAGGCTGATGGGAAGTCCTACGTGAAGTACCAGGTCATCGGCAAGAACCATGTGGCGGTGCCCACTCACTTCTTCAAGGTGCTGATCCTGGAGGCCACAGGCGGGCAGATTGAGCTCCGCTCCTACGTGATGCCCAATGCGCCTGTGGACGAGGCGATCCCACTCGAGCGCTTCCTCGTGCCCATTGAGAGCATTGAGCGGGCTTCGGGGCTGCTCTTTTTGCCCAACATCCTGGCACGGGCGGGCAATGTCAAGGCCATCACTGCAGGCGGCAAGTGAGACACAGGTGGGGACTAAGAGTGTGGCATCTGCAGCGCATTAAAGGTGATGTTCTTGGAGCTGTCTTGGCCATCCATGGCTGTCCCAAGTGACCTGCAGGTGCCCCTGCCTGGCTCCAGAACCGCCTGTGTGCTGTGTGAACCTTCAAGTGGGCCGGGTTCCTGCCTGGCTGAGGCTGGGCTGCAGGGCTGC